GATTTGCCTTCCCGGAGCATCCGCTGGGAAATTCCCAAAATCCAGGGAGGATCCCAACTCTCCGCCCTCTTCAAGGTGACAATTCCCAAATTTCCAACCCAAAAAAAATCCCAAAAAAATCCCAAAAAAAAATGCACAAAGAATTCTCGGAAAAATCTACAAAAAACCCCAAAAAATTCCCCAAAAATTCCCCCAAAAAAACAGAAAAAATCCTCAAAAAATCCACAAAAAATCCACAAAAAATTCCCTAAAAAATTCCCTAAAAAATTCCCTAAAAAATTCCCCAAAAAAACAGAAAAAATCCTCAAAAAATCCTCAAAAAATCCACAAAAAAATAAAAAAAATTCCTACAAAAATAAAAAAAAATCCCCCCAAAAATGCACAAAGAATTCTCAGAAAAATCTACAAAATACCCCAAAAAATTCCCCAAAAAACCAGAAAAAATCCAGAAAAAATCCTCAAAAAACCTCAAAAAATCCACAAAAAAATAAAAAAAACCCCTCAAAAATTCCACAAAATATCCACAAACAACCCTCAAAAAATCCACAAAAAACCCCAAAAAATTCCCCAAAAAACCAGAAAAAATCCTCAAAAAATTCACAAAAAATCCTCCAAAAATCCACAAAAAATCCTCAAAAAATCCTCAAAAAATCCAGAAAAAACCCTCAAAAAATCCTCAAAAAATCCTCAAAAAAAATCCAAAAATCAAAAAAAAATCCTCAAAATATCCCCAAAATGTCTCCAAAAATCCCAAAACACCCTCAAAAAATTCCCAAAAAATCCACAAAAAATTCCCCAAAAAATCCAAAACAAATCCAAAAAAAATCCAAAAAAAATAAAAAAAATCCAAATAAAATCTCCAAAAATCTCAAAAAAATTCCCAAAAAAATCCCAAAAAAATCCAAATAAAATCTCAAAAAAATTCCCCAAAAAATCCCCAAAAATCCCCAAATTCCCGATGCCATTCCCGATGTTTTTCCCTGGTTTTTCCCAGCTGGATCCGGCCCCGCTGTCCCGTTGCTGGCGCCTGGAGCTGGGTCCTGCCCACGGCTCCCAAAACATCCCCAAAATGTCTCCAAAAAATCCCAAAAAATCCACAAAAAACCCTCAAAAAACCCTCAAAAAATCCACAAAAAAATCCCCAAAAAATCCAAAAAAAATCCCAAAAAAATCTCAAAAAAATCCAAGAAAAATCCAAATAAAATCTCAAAAAATCCAAAAAAAATCCCAAAAAAATCCCCAAAAAAATCCAAATAAAATCTCCAAAAAATCCAAAAAAATCCCCAAAATCCCCAAATTCCCGATGCCATTCCCGATGTTTTTCCCTGGTTTTTCCCAGCTGGATCCGGCCCCGCTGTCCCGTTGCTGGCGCCTGGAGCTGGGTCCTGCCCACGGCTCCCAAAACATCCCCAAAATGTCTCCAAAAAATCCCAAAAAATCCACAAAAAAATCCACAAAAAATCTCAAAAAAATCCCAAAAAAAATCTAAAAAAAATGCAGAAAAAATCCCAAAAAATCCCCAAAAAATCCCCAAAAAATCCAAAAAAAATGCAAAAAAAATAAAAAAAAATCCAAATAAAATCTCCAAAAATCTCAAAAAAATCCCCCAAAAAATCCCAAAAAAATCCAAATAAAATCTCAAAAAAATCTCAAAAAAGTCTCAAAAAAATCCCAAAAAAATCCCAAAAAAATCCAAATAAGATCTCAAAAAAATCCCAAAAAAATCCAAAAAAAAATCCAAAAAAAAATCCAAAAAAAATCCCAAAAATCCCAAAAAATCCCCAAATTCCCGATGCCATTCCCGATGTTTTTCCCTGGTTTTTCCCAGCTGGATGCGGCCCCGCTGTCCCGTTGCTGGCGCCTGGAGCTGGGTCCTGCCCACGGCTCCCAAAACATCCCCAAAATGTCTCCAAAAAATCCACAAAAAACCCTCAAAAAATCCACAAAAAAATCCACAAAAAACCCTCAAAAAACCCTCAAAAAATCCACAAAAAACCCTCAAAAAACCCTCAAAAAATCCACAAAAAATTCCCCAAAAAATCTCAAAAAAATCCCAAAAAAATCCACAAAAAAATCAAAAAAAATCTCAAAAAAATCTCAAAAAAATCTTTAAAAAATCCCAAAAAAATCCCAAAAAACCCTCAAAAAACCCTCAAAAAACCCTCAAAAAAATCTCAAAAAAATCTCAAAAAAATCTCAAAAAAAATCCCAAAAAATCTCAAAAAAATCCAAAAAAAATCTCAAAAAAATCCAAAAAAAATCCAAAAAAAATCCCAAAAAATCAAAAAAAAATCCAAAAAAAATCCCAAAAAAATCCCAAAAATTCCCCAAAAATCCCGATGTTTTTCCCTGGTTTTTCGCAGCTGGATGCGGCCCCGCTGTCCCGTTGCTGGCGCCTGGAGCTGGGTCCTGCCCACGGCTCCTTCGCGCTCCCGGCGCTGTCGAGTTCGGGGCTGCGGCTCCGGTTCCTGCGGCTCCGCGGAGCCCCCGGCGCCGCCCCCGCCCCGCGCTGGGTGCGGTACCTCACCCACAGCGACTCCTACGTCATGAGACTGTGAGAAACCTGGGAAAAATCCTGGGAAAATCCGGGGAAAATTCCGGGAAAAATCCCGGGAAAATTCCGGGAAAAATCCCGGGAAAAATCCGGGAAAAAATCCGGGAAAAAATCTGGGAAAAATCCCGGGAATAAAGGTGGGAACAGAGCGGTGCCTCACCCACAGCGACTCCTACGTCATGAGACTGTGAGAAACCTGGGAAAATCCCGGAAAATCCCGGGAAAAATCCTGGAAAAATCCTGGGAAAATCCTGGAAAAATCCCGGGAAAAAATCTGGGAAAAATCGGGGAAAATTCCGGGAAAAAATCCCAGGAATAAAGGTGGGAACAGAGCTCACCCACAGCGACTCCTACGTCATGAGACTCTGAGAAACCCGGGAAAATCCCGGGAAAATCCTGGGAAAATCCCGGGAAAAATCCCGGGAAAAATCCCGGGAAAATCCGGGAAAAATCCGGGAAAAATCGGGGAAAAAATCCCGGGAATAAAGGTGGGAACAGAGCTCACCCACAGCGACTCCTACGTCATGAGACTGTGAGAAACCCGGGAAAAATCCGGGAAAATCCTGGAAAATCTGGGAAAAATCCCAGAAAAAATTCGGGAAAAATCCGGGAAAGATCTGGGAAAATTCCAAGAAAATCCCGGGAAAATATCCCAGAAAAATCTGGGAAAAATCCCGGGAAAAAACCCGGGAAATTTCAGGGAAAATAAGCGGGAAAATCACGGGGAAATCACGGAGAAAATCCCGGGAATATCCAGGGAAAATCTCAGGGAAATCCCTGCAAAAAATCCCGGGAAATCCCTGGGAAAATTCAGGGAAAATCCCGGAATTTTCCCCGATTTTTCCCAGATTTTTTCCCGGGATTTTTCCA